TTTTGTCTGCTGTCCCTACAGCACATTGAGAGGAGCTTGATATCCCTTCATCTACACCCTGTGATCAACAGCTACCCTGCCTCTATCCAAGCTTCACTATATCCACTTATCGGCACCTCTGAAACACAGTAGAATAAATGTAATATCCTTGCAAAACCAAAGTGAAAAATGTATTAATGTGTTTTTAGTTTTTTTGTATGTATTAAGAGCACAACACATGGCAAGGAGGTTCATGTTGGACATTCAAAAACGGCATCCCTTCTTTAAGCTATTTATTTAGCTCATCCTGCTGCTTATCAGATTTCACACACTCTCAGCAGAAAGTGGTTTTTCAGTTGTGTTTGTTTGTTTTTAGATATAGGTTACACCTTGGAAACTGCAGCTACATCCCCTGAGGAACACATATCCCTGGTTTGAAATCACTGCTGTAGAAAGTCTACAATACACTCACGACACCAATGCTCACCATGCAGAACACACGCGCAAACTCGGTCCACAGTTACACTCTGCCAACAAGGAACGATCAGAAGTGATTTATTCGTGTGATAGCATGTCTGTGCACATGCAATGTTTCGTAGTATATGAGACTCACCCTCCAGGCGTTACTCTGGTATTTAACCACCTTCTTAGTGTCTGATAGGCTACTGCCCTCTCCACATAGTCTACTAATGGCGCATTTCCACTGCAGGCCTCGCTCGGCCTCGCTCGGTTTGGTTAGGCCTTATCAGGCCCGGCTCACTTTAATGCTGCGCTTCCACAGTTTAGGAACTGGGGTAGTTACTATAGTAACGCAGTGTAGGCGGAGCCGTGACGTCATCTTCAATGAGAGCCCCAGAAAAACAACACAGCCGTTAAATCTTAGCACTCAGAGCTCACTGCTCCTCATATCTGTTCAGAAACTAGACAAAAGTTAAACAAGTACAAACCACAGACTGCCTGTGTCATGGCGAATACAGTCGCTGGTTTATTTATGTCTGTATAGGCCGTTGTTGTGAGTGTAGACGGTCGGAGCATATACTGCGTTAGTTTAGCCAAGCTCCATTTAGAAAACACGCATTTTAAAGGGTTTTTCACCTGCCGTCTGTCTGCAGACTTGTCAAAGCATTAATTCATGGTTTTTACTAACCGGTATCAGTATATTGTTACTTCGGCATCATTTTGAAACGTGTATTACAATTAAATCACGGTCAAATATGTTCATCTTGTTGTAGTTGTAGCCCCCTTGCCAGCGATTCTCTCTCTAGTTTAGCATACTCAGCCCGACTCAGCCTGGTTGTTCCTGGCCCTAGAACCACGATTTAGTCGGGGCAGAAAAAAGGTGAAAAAGTAGCCCCGGGCCAAAACTAGGCCAAGTGGAAACGCAACCAAAAACGGGCCCCGCACGGCTCGGCACGCTTAAAGCGAGCTACCCGCTGCAGTGGAAACGCGCCATAAGTGCTCCACATTGTACTCTATGCGGTCTATCATTTCCCCCTAAGAGAGGTTAGTTAAGAGGTGTGGAAGACATGCAGATAGGAAGAAGAAAGAGAGAGCCAGATGAGGAGGCAGGAAGAGGAAGAGGAATGGATACAGATGGAGGGGAGGGAGGAATAGTGGGTGAGAATGAGAAGTAGAGAGAAGGGGAAGCATAAAGAGAGAAAGGAAATAATTAGTCAGTTCGTTGAATATGCATTTTCAATCTCACCCGTTTGCCAGTCTTTTTGAACTTTTTGCATTTTGGGATGTTGACCTTTGCCTGCTGCACATATTCATGAACGCCCAGCACACTTCGCTCGATGCTGCTCAAGCAGTCATTGTAGTGTTGGTGAGAGCTCACATTGAGTACCACCTTCAACCACATAAGAATGATATTACATTGACGTATTTAAAAAAAGAATTACATTGATGCCAATATGAACATCTGTGAGAATGTGAAAGACTGCTGTGTAAAACATACTGCTCTGCTTTAATATATACAGCCATCGTCTCCCACTTATCCGTGGTCGGGTCGCGGAGGTAGCAGTTCCAGCAGAGAGCCCCAAACATTCCTTTCCCTGGCCACATCAACCAGCTCTGAATGGGGGATCCCAAGGCGCTCCCAGGCCAGCGAAGAGATATAATCCCTCCACCTGGTCCTAGGTCTACCCCTTGGTCTCTTCCCAGCTGGACGTGCCTGGAACACCTCCATAGGGAGGCGCCCAGGTGGCATCCTAACTAGGTGCCCGAACCACCTCAACTGGCTCCTTTCGACGCGAAGGAGGAGCGGTTCAACTCCGAGTCCCTCCCGGATGACTGCACTTCTCATCTTATCCCTAAGGGAGACGCCAGCCACCCTGCGGAGAAAACCCATCTCGGCCGCTTGTATCCGCTTTAATATGTGAAAGCAGCAAATGTGATTTACCTTGTTTTTATCAGCATGAATTAATAAAGAAAGTCCATATTTCAAATTAAGTATTGATCGAGGAGTGTTAAAAAATGTAACCATGTTTAAGTACAGTGACAACTAATGTAATCCTTACAGTTCTCCATTCATCCACTGCAACTGTGATTCAAGAATAAAAAAAGAAAGAACACATTAGGAATCATCGAAAATGACCTTTCTGCATTAGGAGGGGATCGCTGCTCTCTGTTCTCGAGAGCTTCGAGTCATTGAGGTGACGACAGTGTTGTGAACGCAGAGGGAAAAGAGAGTGCAATGCTCAGAAAGGCAGAATTAACAAAAAACTGAATTATAATCTTAAAATGTGTAGTGCTCTGTTAATAAGGGAAAAGTTAGTAATTGAGCTAATTACATTTAGGGAATTCATATTTGTGACAACACAATGAAAAAGACAACATACACACACAATTATCACAATTATCACTCCAACACTTCAATAATTCAGAATGAGTATTTCTTCTGAGGGAAACAGTCAATCTCTGTGGGGGTTCAGCCAAGACAATCACACAGTCACATATACAGGCAAGACATATACATTTACATAAAGCAAGACACTTCACTGAGAAGAGTAAAGACAACTCGTAAAAATAATATATGTGTGTCTTTGAAGAACCTATAAGAGAACTTCATATTGCAAAGTACCTCTCCTGCTGATACTCCGGTTCATATCAGTATTTAGTGTCTGTGACATGTCTCCATGCTTTAATGTTCAAAAAGCACCTCTTTTCACCCTCTGTCTGAAACCAGAGCCCAGTCTGCTCTGATTGGTTAGCTGGCCGGCTCTGTTGTGATTAGTCAACCAGCTTAGAGTACCGACCCTTAGCCTATCACGAACAATGTTTTGGAGCACTAGCCAATAGGAGCACAAGTTTTACATAATGATGTCTGTGTTCCCGGAGTAAACAAAGGAGTCCAATGGAGGAGTTTCAGGCCAAATTGCTGCATTCAATGACGTCTTTGTGTCGTTTTCAGAAAAATGGACACACAGATAATCAGATAAATAATATTATATTGGTTTTGTATGATACTGTGATTGCTATCGTTCAATAAATTGTTTGGATACTGTCTACTATCTCAACAGAAATGTCAACTTCATTTGTATTCAACAATGGCATGTTTAGATGATTAGATATGTGCAGGTGTTCTTATTTTTCTGTCCACTCCTGTTAGTGACAGTGGGCGTCCGCATTGTGCTGACTGCCTTTTTGTTGAAAACGTCGTAAAGCTAGCCATAATTAGACTTAACCGGAAGTGTTGTTACTTTCCCTTCAACATAAAAGACCAATAACCTTAACCTTTGGGGGAAATAAATCATCAATGAAAGTGTAAACATTATAGATATGTGTCTGTTTGAATAACTAGCATGCATAGAATAATATTTTGAGTTTATAGAATATCATTCGGGTAGAAAGAGGACTGTTATCAACGTATGGTCTAAAACTCTCATATTTCAAACCTAATTACCACAACTGAAAAATGACTGAAGCATTGGACAATACTGAATGTGCTCTTCCAACATCAGAGTAACATGATAACAAAGGTATCCCAACTGTAGCTGTGAACATGACAGGATGTGTGATTACCTCGAAGAGCATCAGGACTGTTTTAGGCATATGATAGCTATGTGATTAACATGATGATTCAGCCTCTATGGAGATAGACATATGACAAGCATGCTCATTTCTGACGTGGAGCTAATCTGAAGTAAACATTGAATACTTCTTTCTATTCCTCCATCTTGTGACTGAGTAACTCCCTCTCTTGGATATCAGCATGTGGAGGACACTGTTCAGGAACTACTTGATGCTCTGTATGTGATGACTACTTCCATTCTGGAGAGGATCACAAATACATGGATCCTGAGATTGAAGCTCAAGCCGGTGACGAGTGATATGTTTCCAACAGTAGTAGTAGTTGTATTACTAATAGTAGTAATAGTTGTATGAGTAGTAGTGGTGTATGGTATAAGTTGGAGTAGTAGTAGTAGTAGTAGTAGTAGTGGTGGTGGTTGTAGTGGTGGTAGTAGTATAAGTAATTGTAGTGGTAGCATGTGAAGGACACTGTTCAGGAACTAGTTGTACCAAATGCTCTGTATGTGATGATGACTACTTCTATTCTTGAGAGGATAATAAATACATGGATCCTGAGATTGAAGCTCAAACCGGTGACAAGGGAGACTTTTCTAACATAATAACTTTTTATGGTTTCTATTTGAAATATTATGTGCATGCCCTAGTGTTTAATTTCCCCTATGCGGGACGATAAAGGAATTCTGATTCTGATTTATATCCCAACCAAGATCAAGATTCAAAGGTTTTATTGTCATATGCACAGCATCTACCTTAAGTACCTGCTCCTTCAACAATGCAACATAACTATAAAAAATAGTTAAAACAATAAAACAAATAAAAACGAACAATAAAAATAATGGAATAAGGAACAGAGTATAAATAAAATAGTGCAAGTATTATTGGAATATGACATTAGTAACATAGATTTGGCAATATATACAAATATCAATATGTCAATATGTCTTTAAATTCTGCACCTCAGAATGTTTTGTTCTTCTTTCTTCCCCAACCTTTATTTTGGAATGTGTAACCGGAAGTCTCCTCTAGGCTCTCAACCGCTGCATTTCTCAGCAGCGGAACGTGTGCAGCGGTAATGGCTTCCAGGGAGAGAGAAGAGCACAACAAATGAACCTGAGACCAGAGGCAAAGGTAAGAGAGTCTCGAGACCCTAAAAAATCACAACTATCAGCTGCTTTCTCCTCTAAATTCACACTGTTGTCCCGTGTGTGTGTGTGTGTGTGTGTTCCAGTTGCAGTTGTGTTTACACACACACACATACACATACACACACACACACACTGGACAATAATCATGTTTGTACATTTAATGTAATAATGGGCTTGTTTTGGTGTTTGATTGTGTGGCTGTGTCTTTGTCTGGTGTTGCTCTTGGGAGATGGACTCTTTGTTAGCTGCTAACGTGAGGCTAATTAACAACAGGACGTTAGCAGACAGGCCTGTTAGCCAATTAGCAAGGTGCATGTCTAATTAGCTCGTTAGCATGTTAGCTAAAATTATTTTTCTGATTTTTTATTTTATACTTCTGATTTTTTTTGTAAATAAAGTCAGTGTCAAGTTTATCACATTAAAAATCGAGTTTAATGATACATGTGTTCAGTGAATAGCAGGTACAGGTGTTGGAGAGAGCTTGAACTCTGGCAGTGTTTTGAAAAAAGCTAAACTTCATTTTTTGCTTACTCTTCTAAAATAAACATTTTACTTTTATTACATTGAATGTTGCCGCATCAACGCATCCATAAGGGAGTAATTAATGTCATACCAGTTAGTGTCCCCAGGGAAATGAGTCTAGCAAACCATACAGAAAATGTAACAAGAAATAATTTGACGTAAATCACTTTCATCCCAATGTCTTTGTTTACAAACCATTAAATCTGTGAGAGAAACACAGAATAATTTGGATTTATCATCTTAAAGGTCACCTATTATGCAAAATCGACTTCTTCATGTCTCTTCTACATCAACATGTGTCCCCTCTTCTTCATGTCTCTTCTACATCAACATGTGTCCCCTCTTCTTCTTGTCTCTTCTACATCAACATGTGTCCCCTCTTCTTCATGTCTCTTCTACATCAACATGTGTCCCCTCTTCTTCATGTCTCTTCTACATCAACATGTGTCCCCTCTTCTTCATGTCTCTTCTACATCAACATGTGTCCCCTCTTCTTCATGTCTCTTCTACATCAACATGTGTCCCCTCTTCTTCATGTCTCTTCTCCATCAACATGTGTCCCCTCTTCTTCATGTCTCTTCTACATCAACATGTGTCCCCTCTTCTTCATGTCTCTTCTACATCAACATGTGTCCCCTCTTCTTCATGTCTCTTCTACATCAACATGTGTCCCCTCTTCCTCATGTCTCTTCTTCATCAACATGTGTCCCCTCTTCTTCATGTCTCTTCTACATCAACATGTGTCCCCTCTTCTTCATGTCTCTTCTACATCAACATGTGTCCCCTCTTCCTCATGTCTCTTCTACATCAACATGTGTCCCCTCTTCTTCATGTCTCTTCTACATCAACATGTGTCCCCTCTGTGGAAAGAGACTCTGAAAGTTTCAGGAACAAAGATTCTCTCTCTTTTTGTCCTGATCCATTTCTATAAAAACTAGGGCTGTCTGTCGATTAAAATAGTTAATCGCACATTTTTTTATCTGTTCTAAATGTACCTTAGAGGTGTGTGTGTGTGTGTGTGTGTGTGTGTGTGTGTGTGTGTGTGTGTGTGTGTGTGTGTGTGTGTGTGTGTGTGTGTGTGTGTGTGTGTGTGTGTGTGTGTGTGTGTGTGTGTGTGTGTGTGTGTGTGTGTGTGTGTGTGTGTGTGTGTGTGTGTGCTGACTTCTCGTACAATGTCCCACTGTCTGGCTTCCTGCATAAAGTCAAGTGCTCGGCGCAGTTGCGGCGAAATGTCGCTCCTCTGTTTTCATTTAAACAGCTCCATATCCGTTAGCGCAGCTAGCTAGCACCAGATGCTAACAACAATGCACGTAAGGTCTCTCTCTCGCTCGCTCGAGCCACACATACACACACCCTCCCGGTCCTCCCGATGGCCAGTCGGTGCCTGCCGGTGAGCGTGGAAGTGTGGTCTGCCGCAAGCGGGCGGCAGGAGCGGGGCTGTCAGCATCAGCTTGTAGATGGTATTTTAAACTCGATGCGCTCTGAAACTACGGGGCGACCGAGGAAAAAAAATACACATGCGTTAATCGCGTTAAAATAATTAGTGGCGTTATTTTTTTTTTGCGTTAACGCGTTATTAACGCGTTAACTTGACAGCCCTAATAAAAACCTGTCTGAAAATGAGCTGATCAGATTTTGGCCACTTTATGATGTCATAACGATGTTTTGTCTTGTGTAACCATTAGCCAATCACCAACCAAGGTAACCCCCCCCCCCCCCCTTATCACCTGAATCTCCTCCTAGAGCACCATTGAGTTCTTTCTAACCAAATGTCTCTCAGAGGGGCGTGGGGAGGGGCTCCTTATTTTCATCTAAAGTAACAGACAGAGAATCAGCACTTTGGAAACAGGGCTGAAACAGAGGGGATTATGGGTAATGCTGCAATGATTTTTTTGGTGTTTCAGCCAATCAGAGACAGGTTCTGTATATATCTGAGACCTATTATATATTGATGAAAAACAGTATAATAGGGGACCTTTAAATGGGCGGGAACATGAAAACATACAGTATGCAACAATAACAAAAATATGGCTTCAAGAGGAATTTGGAAGCCTATGCCTCATGTGTTTTCCGTCCACACAGTGAGGACTAGGATGGTCAGCAGCCAGCCGAAGTACGAGTTGATCCAGGAGGTGGGGCGTGGCAGCTACGGCGTGGTTTATGAGGCGGTGGTGAAGCGCTCGGGGTTCCGGGTGGCGGTGAAGAAGATCCGCTGCCACTCTCCGGAGAATGTGGAGCTGGCCCTGCGTGAGTTCTGGGCGCTGAGCAGCATCCAGAGCCAGCACCCCAACGTCATCCACCTGGAGGAGTGCATCCTGCAGAGGGACCAGCTCGCCCAGAGGATGAACCACGGGAACAGCTCCCCGCTCTACCTGGAGGTGAGGAGGCTGGGTTTGGGTTCGGGGTGTAGATGAGTTAGGAGGCAATCCGGTCTGTGGTTAACACGAAAATCTGTCTTAAAATAGAGTTACATTAGCCACCTTAGCTTAGCGGTGGTGAGGTGAAGTCATGTGACCGTGCTGTAGTTCCTTTATAGCCCAACGTTAGCTTTTTACTTCAGAAATCATAAAGTGGTGTCAATATGTGGAGATTATCCAGCTGGACAAAACGTGTAAGTACCATGAACGTTGAGATTATTTTCTGGTTGGAGCTGTGTTGTCTCTGGCCTCAGTGCCCCCTCAGTCACATGACTATGTTAGCAGGTTTTCAGGGAGGGGGGGGGGGAGCTATTGTCCGGCCACTCTTTGGGTTTTTCTGCAGCGCTAGCATTGGACACTTTCCCAGAATCCTCCTTTTATTCCAGCTCTCTCTCTTTTTTGTATTGCTCTGTTATGTACCAGAAGAACAAATGATAATGGGGAATAATTATCTGAGCGCACCGGCTGTGGGGCTTTTCTTTTTGTTGGTTCTCTGGCTTGTCAAACAACCCACAGCCATTTGTTTACAGCAAGGAATATTCTACTACACACACTCGGAGCGTTTGTGTTGCCTGTAAACACTTTAGAACAAAGGACTGAATGTGTGGTGAAGCCAAAATGACACTTGAAGACATTTTTACTCTTGAGCTGATATTTTAAATTCTGTTGCAGAGACTTCAACTATTTACTGTTCTCACACCTTCTCTGGCACTTCTTCATTTACTGACATTTCAACTTCGCTACTGCCTTGCTCTCATTACCGTATGTCTCATATTGTTATACTGACATTTCAACTACTTAAAGGTAGGGTAGGTAAGAATGGAGAAACCAGCTCGAGTGCGCTAGAATTTGAAAATACACAATCGGAAAAAATCTGCCACTTCCTCACAGAGCCCCTCCTCCAACACACACGAACGCGCACATGACCAATGAGGGCACGAGATAAGTCTGTGCACAGATGGAAGGCTGACAGGCAGGTAGGCCATCCAGTTACTTTAGCCGGCTCAGATGATTGGTCGTGCTTTTTACAGCGCCACGGCTTCAACTGATGACATGTTTTAATGTATTTATTGTCAAAGCATTTCATGTATTCATTGCTATCGGGATGTTAAGAGCATTCCATGGAATATAACAAGTGTTTCTGAAGTGAATTACCTACCCCGCCTTTAAAGCACTTCTATTTTATTTTCCATTTAAGCATTTTTACTTATTTTATTTACTCTGCCACTTCAACCTTTTAATATACTCCACATTTAAATTGTTCATTGTTTCTATGGCTGTGTTTTCAAGCCTGATCTAAACAATGCCTCCTTTATTTATCGTGCGATACCTGGGAAACCTAATATATCAGGACAGCACAAATGTAATTTACAGCGATGGTGGTTAGTTTCTGTAAAGTACAATCTTTTTGCAGTGTGTGGTTGCGGCTTGATTAATGTAAAACAAGGAAAGGAAATATTTGGATATTTGCATTTTTAAGTGAAGTTCCCCTGATTGCATTATAGGTTGTCATTGCAATTGTGCAGCCCAAGTGTAAAATACATTTCCTTTATTTCAAATTCAGTGTTTTTGAAAAGGCTTTACTCTCCTATGCTGGGCAATACAAATCTAAATTCCCAGATGCAACATGCATGATGCTTAACGGTGGGGTAGGTAATTCACTTCAGAAACACTTGTTATATTCCATGGAATGCTCTGAACATCCCGATAGCAATGAATACATGAAATGCTTTGACAATAAATACATAATGTGCATGTCATCTGTGGAAGCCGTGGCGCTGTAAAAAGCACGACCAATCATCCAGTTCGTGTGTGTTGGAGGAGGGGCTCTGTAAGGAAGTCTGAAGGAAGGGGCAGATTTTTTTCGGCTGCGTACTTTCAAATTCTAGCGCACTCGAGCTGGTTTCTCCATTCTTACCTACCCTACCTTTAAGACGTAAATGAAAAAAGACATAAAATAGCGCGAAACACACAATGGTGGATGTAAAAATGCAGAAGTAAGTCAACTATGTACAGAATGTAAAATGTAAATCTCAGGAAAGCTTGAAAAACGTCGTGATAATACCGTTCACCATTCTATTTTAGCCCCTCACTAATGCTCCTCTTCCTCCTGCAGCTGGTGGAGACGTCTCTGAAGGGCGAGATCACCTACGACCCGTGCTGCGCCTACTACCTGTGGTTCGTCATGGACTTCTGCGACGGCGGCGACATGAACGCCTACCTGCTGTCGCGCAAACCCAGCCGCAAGACCAACACCAGCTTCATGCTGCAGCTGGGCAGCGCGCTCGCCTTCCTGCACCGAAACCAGATCATCCACCGCGACCTCAAGCCCGACAACATCCTCATCTCGCAGGCCTGTACGCCGGCTGGGAACAGCGAACCCACGCTCAAAGTGGCCGACTTCGGGCTGAGCAAAGTGTGCTCCACGTCCGGGTTGAACCCCGAGGAGCCGGCCAGCGTCAACAAGTGCTTCCTGTCCACGGCGTGCGGCACGGACTTCTACATGGCGCCCGAGGTGTGGGAGGGACACTACACGGCGAAAGCGGATATCTTCGCTCTGGGCATCATCATCTGGGCGATGGTGGAGCGTATCACCTTCGTGGACGTGGAGACGCAGAAGGAGCTGTTAGGGACTTACGTTCAGCAGGGGTCGGAGATCATTCCGCTTGGCGAGGCGCTGCTGGAGAACCCCAAGATGGAGCTGCTGATCCCGGCCAGGAAGAAGAGCATGAACACACACATGAAGCAGCTGATCAGGGACATGCTGTCGGCGAATCCTCAGGAGCGACCGGACGCCTTCGAGCTGGAGCTCCGGCTGGTGCGCATCGCCTGCAGAGAGCTGGACTGGGACACGTGACGATGCACGGGAGAAAAATCTGGATCTCAAACCCGGGGATTATTGGTTTTATTGGAACAAGGGAACAATAATTAGTTGTTTGGGTATGGAGGTGGATTTGTCTGTTGAGGGAACAGATCGACAATCTGGGTGTAATGGGTAAACTGTAAATGTAAAACAGCTTCCACAAATGCGAAAGAATATTCTTTAACTCAAAGAAATAGAAAATACGAAACTGACCTAAAAACGTACATGAGCTCATTTTGAAATGTAGAAGACAAAAAACGACACTTCTAGTTTTAAGTCCAGTCTTTTTTAAGGATACTCTCTTTGAACTAAAAGGTGTTGACATTTGGATGACAGTTACAAAAGATATATCTATTTGGAGCCTTAGTGTAAAGAAGACTTCCTATATTTCTTAGGAAAACTTGGAAAACCTGCACAATATCGGACATTTGATCAAAATCACAATATGAACTCGTGAAATATCAAAAATACGGAAAAAACTAACATTTTTAAAGACTTAAGATGCGTTAAAATATTCACAAATGCCCAAAAAGTGTTATAAAAATTCAAAAAAACCTGTACATTTGATCCATTCACAGATTTGTGGAATTTGTTTGTAAATTTGCCAAATAGTTTACAAGCTTAATTTAGCGTTTGTGGAAGGGGTTGTCCTCACAGATTGCTGCTCTGTTCACACTTCATCATAATATTGAGACAAATCTACCTCCATATTTGTTTCATGGCTTCCTCCACTGTCTGAGCACATGCGGTCCTCCTCTCGCTGTGACTTTATATTCGGGTTCGCTGCTTCTGCTTCTAATGGCGGCTGAGTCTCAGGCTAATCACATCACAGCTTCCACTTCCTCCTCGAGCTGCTGGAAGAGCGAAATGAGCAAGAAGTCCCGAAACTCAATTAGAGAAGACAGTCTACAAATACCATCCTGCCCCTCGGTGCTAATTGTGACTAAATGCAATATGAGACATTATCCTGTGATCATTACAGCGTACATTCATCCAAAGGCCACCTTTAGCTTAGCGGTGGTGACGTGAAGTCATGTGACCATGCTTTACTTCCTTTATAGCCTAACGTTAGCCACTTTTAGCTTAGCGGTGTTGACGTGAAGTCATGTGACCGTGCTGTACTTCCTTTATAGCCTAACGTTAGCCACTTTTAGCTTAGCGGTGGTGACGTGAAGTCATGTGACCGTGCTGTACTTCCTTTATAGCCTAACGTTAGCCACTTTTAGCTTAGCGGTGTTGACGTGAAGTCATGTGACCGTGCTGTACTTCCTTTATAGCCTAACGTTAGCCACTTTTAGCTTAGCGGTGTTGACGTGAAGTCATGTGACCGTGCTGTACTTCCTTTATAGCACTTCAGAAACCATATCTTATGTCGGCTGTAGAGTTTATACAGAGCTTACTTTCTGCAATAACCTAAAATCCAATGGAGAAATCCTATTGGCTTTTTGTTGAGAGAACCAGGGAGATGATGCCTTCAGGGTCAGCTTACAAAAATCCATCATCCCTGCACCGCTTTTTATTAAAACACAATCACCTCATGTGTTTAATGAAAGGCTTTGACAGAACTGGTACATGACCACCAGCATACATACATACATACAAACATCCGATCCTATTCTGTGTTTGGCATCAAATGCTCAGGTAACAATAACTAACTGCATGATGGTATTTGTAGACGAACATCTTAGGAGGGAAAAATACTGATATTTAGTGGTTGAAGTTGATTTCTTACCTTTTTAATCGTGCTGCTTTGTTCTTTTCTTTTAGGTGGGGCACGGTCTATCAGTTATTGAGCAGCAGCATGCTTATGGTTGCATTCCTCCTCTCTGCTCATTACAGACTTCTAGATAAGTCAACAGTTCGCAGATAACGCCCACACAAGAATGTAAAACAACCGTCACCTTTATTTATACGGAGTCTTAAACCCTTCATTTGAATTAGACCCAGTTAATGAGGAAGTAATGATGGTTTATTACAACTTTAAAAGTCCAGGCCATTGTCCCTCTGACGGTGTTACTGCCCGCTTTTAGGTATTATTGCTGTGCCTGTTATTATAACAAATGTTTCCTATGACATGAATGTAGTTCAGTGATAGCGGTGGCAGATTTACGACTTAAATATATTTAACTTTTTAACCTCGATTGTAAACTAAAATTGCCTCTTTCAGTAGGTTCTTGTCAATTTTGCTTGATGAAATGACAACTGCAGATTTGCTTAGCTTTAGCTATGTAGTAATGCCTGATTTATATTCTGTGTATTGAGATGTTATTTTCCCCTGAAGAATTTACAGGAAAGTCAGAATAAAAATAAAACAGTCTGAAAAATAGATAAATAATAATCTAATTTAAATGATATGCAGTACCACCACAGCCTACTAAATGTAGCTTTGAAGTCAATTTTCCTTACAAAAAAAGGCTTGTTTTAAGTCGTCTTTTGGCTCGTTAACAACAATACTCATCGCCTTTCCCCCGAATGCAATAGAAAAAATGTCCCCTAAAGAAAACCAAAGTTGTAATGAACCAGAATGATCCTTTCTTTAAGTCAAAACCAAGAACACTACTATAGAGCCTCTGTTCAAAACTCATGGCAAACAAATCCATGCATGAAGATGTAATGATCTGAAGTTGTGACATGAATATTCACAGCCATTTAGAGCTGGACAAAAAGATGGAGTGAATGTCACGGAAAGCACTTTTCACGTTTATATGTATTCCTTGTGAACTTCCTGCTGCGTTATATATCACTCAGAAGATGTGAGGCAGCGTGATAATGGCTTTTTGGTTACGAACGTCAGCCAACGGTCTACTTATGCATGCAGTGCCTCCCCTTCAGGGAGACGACACCAGCAACAATCCTCCATGAGCCAGACGCTCTCTTATATCGGGAACATAATACTGTTGTGTTGAACTTGATCTCCTCTCACTGTGTCACTGGCTCTCACAGTAATCCCTTTCTGCATGCTTCCACAGGCTCTTTTTTTAAGCCTATTAAGTTGTTGCAGCATTTTTTTTGGGGCTTTCAGGTCATAAATAATGAGTGCACTTTTTAACACATTTTACAGCCGCCTTTTCAAAAACTAGTCTCTGATCCCAAACTGATGGAGAACAAAATGGACTTAAAGGGACTGTGAATGAGCAGCAACTCGGACATCTTTGGAGGATTACTTAGGATAACTTAACCCTTAAATGGGCATTCAATATATTGATATTATCTCATTTACTTTGGACTGTATTACACCCATGCTACACTGTTACAGACCCTTATTACACCCCTATGACATATTGTCATTGAACCCATGTTACACCATAATACAACCGTATTACACCCATGTTACACCGTTATAAGACCCATGCAACACCAATATTACCACCATATTACATTGTAATTACACTGTTATCACACCCATGCTACACTGTTAAAAACCCTTATTACACCCCTATTACACATAGTCATTGAACCCGTATGACACCCATGTTACACCGTTATAAGACCCATGCAACATTAATAGTACCACCATATTACACTGTTATTACAACACATTTTACACATGGGCGCAACCTATCAAATACATGTATCCCCCAGGATGAAAAACAGCTGACTGATTACTCGTAAACGTTGACTATTGCCAATATGTATCTGCTACAGCGCCTACAATTCTCCCGCCTTTTTTTGTTTCACTTCCTGTCGTGATTGCGGTTGAGATTTGCCTTATTTCCTGAAACTCGACCTCGTTGATTTTGCAAACGCAGAAGTTGTGTTTGTCATGGATCAGTATTTAAAATCAAATTATTTTTCCTGCAGGACATCCATGATGCTTTGGACAATTCAAGAATGTGTTTTGCTGCTCAAAGCAAAGCAAAGGATGATGGGTAATGGAGTCTTTTCCTGCCACATTAAGAGACTAAGCTTCCTGCAAAGTAGCTTCTTTTTTTTTGCCAAACAAGAGGTCGATCTTGGGTTTTAAGAGATGTTTGGTTGTATTAAATTCCTTTGCACATGTGTAAATACTGTACAGCGTGTGTGGGGGGGGGGGGGGGGGGGGGGGGGCGGGGCTTAGGGGGTACATTTGACTCTGTTTAAATTTGCTGTGATGGATTTAATTTGACTTCCTGGTTTGGTTCACATCATCCATGGGAAGATGTAATTTATATTTACAGGTTAATACTGTTGGTGTGCTCGTGCTAACTGTCTTTCGTTTGCCAACTGTTTGTGAATGTGTGTAGCTGGTTAACAAATCAAATTAATCAAATGGTTAACACATTTTTAGGAAATGAAACGGTCTTCTTTTGGGACAAAAAGTAAACCTCAACATTTGAACAGCTCTGATCCACGACACCGTACTGCTTTCACTATCTCCTGAAACTCAGATGTTCTGCTTAAAATACACCTGAAGTATGGATTTAGGAATAAAGTTAATTTCTAGATTTCTTCACCGATAAATAAGCAGTTTGGACTTGAGACACAGCTTGCTCTTTTATCCAGTAAATTCGTTTTTCCTACTTGTCACTCAGTAATAAGATCTGCTCCCCTTCACTGAGATCTGATTCTTCCTGTGATGAATTTCATAAGCTGCTAAACTAATGAAATAGTCCTGGATCAGAGCTGCAAATTAAACATGTGTCCCGGGTCAGAAGAAGACCTCTCTCACTTTTGTACGACTTTCTGCTCTTGTCATTGTAAAATATTTTGAAGAGAAAATTAAATTAAGTTTATCAAAAGTGGTGTTCAATGTGTCGATCACTGTTGAGTTGATTTAGATACAAAATTAACAAATATATAATAATACAAAATTATAATATTATAATAAAAAAAAGAAATACAAAATTGTAATAATTACATAAAAAATAACACAAAATGTTGTTAAGTAAATACATTAAAAATAATTATACAGAAATTACGATAAAGAATACAATAAAAAACATGAAATATATATACAAAATGTCTGTATTTTCTGTATTTATTTACTATCTTATTTATTCATGTATTTATTTCCACATGTATCTTTACATTTATGTATGTATCTATTTATGTATTGCCTTGTTTATTTACATTACATGTTACTCAGGGGCGGCGGGTGCTGTAGGCTAGGGAAGGCTAAGCCTTCCCAAATATTTGTGTTACTGCATCCTGGTAAAATACAAATATAATGTCTTTGACATTAGCGCTGCTATGCTGCCACCTGTGCCCTGTACCACGAAGCCAGTTCAACAGACCCTGGATATGCTTGAGTTATCTTAACTAACCCTAACAAACGCGATCTCACTAAACGGTCCTACGGCGCTGGTTATCAACTCGGTAAATCAAGCCAGGGTTTCTCTCTCCAGCTGAGAGCGCGTTCACGTGAAAGGGGCGGGGTTAGCTACATTTGACCAATCACAAACAGGGACAAGTGTACTGACAGCGCAACATCATACTTCATTAATGAAAAGTAAACTAATATTAGACAAATATGAACTTTAAACATCCATGATGACTTAAACATATAATCCAGGATGCAAGCCACTAGTTGCACCTGCAAGGAGAATACAGAACAACTCGTTACAAAATAAACTACCGAGTGTTTGAAAGCGTACAACAGTTTTATGATACTGCCCCATCTAAAACACGAGGGGATCTGACTTTATTACATTTGAGTTGAGTGTTTCGTCAACTTAATGTGTTGCTTAAAATAATACGTCTGCATACAGTATATGTGACAATGTAACTAAGTGTTGCACGGCCAGATACGGCTCGAGAAGCTGACTCAGATAAGGAAATATTGTGATATCGATGTGAGATCGATTATCTGAGCGATGATGTGATGTCAGTGTGATATGAATGATAAGTGCGACACGTCGGCGTCTTCTCTGCATACGGCAGTTTAAACTGCATTTCCTTTCTCCTGTAATATGACTTGATAGATTTAAACTCCGCACACTGAGCTCTGATCGGTCAGCAGGCGGTGCTTTCACTGAGTTGATCTCTTTTCTATCGACGCCGGAGGCGGGCAGCGTAAGATGAAAAAAAAAGTTATTTAGCCTTCCCAAACCTGAGCCTCACGCGCCGCCTATGATGTTACTTGTTGTTAGACGCTTTTATCCAAAGCGACGTAGGCCTACATACTCAATACTGTGGACAATCCCCACAGGAGCAATTTGGGGTGAAGTGTCTTGCCCATGGACAAAACGACATGCTGACTGCAGTGGGGTTTGCACCTGTGCTCCCCTGATCCGAACTCCAACGCACAGTCCACTGCGCCACAGCCTCCCTATTTATTGTATTAATGTTTTTATTCATACATTTATTTATACATATGTCATGTTCCGTCCTTTATATAAGTGAGGGTCTGAGCTCGAGTGTTGTAAAACTGTGAAGTGTCAGTGGTTCAACCAATCTTTAGCTATCTGAAGCAAACATCACGTGGTATCGACGGGCAGCGAGGCTTCGGACCAATCCCAAACCACGCCCTACACACTCCCCCTCCGTGACGGAGCGAACTCAGTGGAGTGACACTCGCAGCTCAACGAGGCTCCCTCCTGTCAGATGGAGGGAGTAAATACAGCGGCAAGCTTTGGGACGGCCTCCCCTCTCCGGCAGAAACAGGAAATGCCGTAACTGTATGTAACAACGGTTTCAGATCAGCATCTCTTAGACAAAAAAATAAAATTAAGAACTAAAATAAAACTCCAAACATCTTTAATTGTGTTGTAAAGCTCTTTTAGTACAAGCTTCTTTGTTTTTGCAACAGTCTGTAAATATACACAACTTTATAATACAATGCACACATTTACCTTTTTCTAGACCAGCGGTGCCCAACCAGTCGATCGCGATCGACCGGTCGATCGCGAGGAGATTCCCAGTCGATCGCGAGATGTGTCTAAAAATAGAACAACAACATTCTGTTTTATCGTTAATGTCCTATAACATAATCTTCCCGTGCCAGAATAATGCACTTGAACGCATCAAAGCTTTGTGATTGGCCAGCGTGACCCCATGTGTCGGAGCGTGGCTGGTGAGCAGTGGGCACTATTTCGCTAGGAGTGACAGTCCGCACACACACAAGACCGCAATTATGGCAGAAGCAAAAAAGCCCAAAATATATAATTTTCACTCCGAGTGGGAGGATGATTATTTTTGTATCTATTCCAATTCAAAGTCCATCTGTCTTATCTGCAATGCGAGCGTGGCTTTATCGAAGAAGGGTAATTTAGGAGCGGCATTTCAAAACAGTGCACAAACGCTAAGAGACGGAATTCCCTCCTAATTCTGCCCTACGCTCCAAAAGGGGAGGGGCCTGAAAGGACAGCTAAATGCACAGCAGTCCATTTTCACCAGGCCCAACAACAAGAGCAAGGCTGCTACCAGAGCATCTTATCGTGTCAGTCACGTTCTTGCGAAACACATGAAGTCTTTCAAAGACGGCGAAGTTGTGAAAGAAGCTTTCCTGGAGGCTGCCGACGTACTTTTGGGGGACAATAAAAATAACAGGAGCATTTCAACAGGTTTTTGATATAATAAAAACTCAAGTTAGATACCGTTATTAATCAGCTGTAAGTTTTTGTTTGTTTGAACTTATTCATTACAATTATTATACAAAATGGTATAAGAATGCAAACATTAAGATCTGTTCTGTTTAAATTGATTATAGTCTATTATCAATTCAGGTTAAGAAGCTAGTGTTGCTTGCATCCTATTTTAAAGGCATTTCTTTTTATAATCTACTAAAATGCAACAAAAAAAGGGTTTGATTCTATTAATTTTGTCTTTTTTATTGCACTTTGGCAGCAGATTCCTGAGTAACTTCAGATCTGAGTTGTCTTATTAGTAAGCCTCATTTATACTTTTGTAGCAACACTATTTGTATATAATGGCAAATAAAGGGTTCAGAGTCTTTTCTTTTGTTCCTGTGTCATATGTGGCAGCACTGTTCAATGTTTCTTGAAAACATTACCCACTGTAGTGACGTGTGAATAAACTCCAACTCTGTATCAACAACACTGTTGTGTAACTTCAGTTGAATACTTGTATGTGTGTAGATTAGAAATAGGTAAGATAAAGGATCTGCAGTATTTTATGAAGTATTCATCCTACAAAGGTCAGTTTTATACAAGTAGAAGTGTGTATTCACCTGGTAGTAGGCTGTCAGTAACTACGCCTCTCTATTTGGACTGGTAGATCTCGGCAGACTGGCAACTTTAAAAGTAGCTCTCGGTTAAAAAAAGGTTGGGCACCCCTGTTCTAGACTAAACACAGGTAGGGGAGAGTGGGGTAAATTGAGCCATTTTTTATTTATGCTGTCCTCTAAGCAAGGAGAAATGACACATAGTAAAAATGAAAACACACATAATTCAGGATGTCTCCTATCAATGATAATAATTAATATTTGATCAAGGGCAGTGAAAATATTACTTCTTTAAAAAAAAAGTCTTGTGGCTCAACTCGCCCCAGTGTAGGGGTAAGTTGATCCAGGTCAAGGGGTAAATTGAACCACTGTTCAAACCTGGGCATACCTACATCAAATCTTAAAGGTAACTATAAACAATAAATAACAAACCAAATACAAGCTTAGTTTTTCAAATATTAATATAAATTTCGTAAATTCAACTTTAAATGTAGCCTATAATGAGCTCTTATTATCAACTTGGCCTACTTTCATTCATTTCTCCATTGAAAAACTGGCTCAACTTACCCCAAGGCCCATGGTTCACTTTACCCCATAGCCACCATTTTAGAAAAAATAGCCTAGCATTAAAATTCAGAGTCATCTTTAGCTTAATGATTCACATGGTTTAATACGCTGCCAACACATCAACATATACAATATATGTGTTTAAACCTGGATACTTTTTTTTGACATGACAGCCGATATAGCTGACATCTAGAAAATGTACTTTGACAAGCAAAAAACGTTTTTTTGTAAAAATGTTTACTTACCAGACCACAATGAGTAGGCTTGTTTGAGACGCGTTGCGGCTCGCCTCGAAAGTAGACGAGAATAGCCGATCGCAGCCGGGGGAGGTCTCAAAAAGCTCGCCTGAAGTCGGACAGCTCGGAGTCCATGCTCGGAGTCGGCTTCGTCTTCTTCTTCTTCTCTCGGTTTTTTGGCGGATTGCAAACAACTTTAAGGTGCATACCGCCACCTCCGGAGTCGGCTTGACTCGGTTTGCATTTATAAAGAATGCACACATGTGTTTAATCGTTAATGTCAGATATGTACTAAGTAAATACATTTGTTCCTGCTCCAGATTAGATTCAACTTTATTGTTATTGCACATATTACAGGTACTGAGACAACGAAATGCAGTTTAGCTTCTAACCATGTGCAACAAGCAGTAACGTGAAAAGTAATGTACACAATCTACAGAATAAAATATAGAATGAATTGAATGATGAATAAACAGTGAGGGGTATGAATACACTAGATATCAGCCTGTGAGCAGTATGAACAGTGTGTATGAATATGCTAAGATATATAAAGTATGAAAACGGTAAGTAGTGCAAGTATAGTATAACATATATGTTATACTATACTTGCACTACTTACCGCAGTTTCATACTGTTTCATTGTTTCACAATGTTTATGAAATTAATATCTATATATATATAGATATTAATTTCATAAACATTGTGGAACAATTATGAAAAATGTGAATGGAAGTGGCGACGTAAAACTGACAAAACAACAACAAACTTTTGCCGAGCCAATTGGAGAGTTTCATCAGCAGCACGTGGTAAAAACCACCAATGAGCGCTCAGCTCGAGATACCAACGAGTCGTTTCCCATCAAGCATTTCGCTTCCGCAGCCCGTGGAGAGCAACTGAGCCAACTCGCCTCGCCTCGCTCTCAAGGCTGCGGGCGTCTTTTTCCCGCGAGATTTCAAAGTCTCATGTGGGCGGGCCTCCAGAGCAAGTCGGACAAAATGACTAACCATCATGCAACGCACTAGCAAGACGTTGATCGCAACTGCGCAGGTCTGCGCAGGTCTTGCTTGTCTCAAACAAGCCCAGTATCTCTCTTTCACAGGCAATGAGAAATGGGTGGAGCTTGCATAATTTCTGGTCACAACTATAAGGCGTTGCCTGGTTACAGGGGGTGGTTCAACTGGCTCAATTTACCCCCTTCTCCCCTATGATGCTAAGTTAAAAACATATGAGGTTATCATGAGGTTGTTAACATCGCAATTTATCAGTGGATGTTTGCTGGAACTACTTAAACAGCGTGTTTCCTGACGGACACACACAGCGACCGGTCAGGTAGAGACCGGTCTCCAGTCAGCACCGATGCAGACTCGCTGTTAGATGGCTTGATAGCCCACTCACCCTCCACACCGCTCACACTCCTTGGTTTGGAACAGCATTTAATGTGGCGGACCCTCCGCGCGAACGAGGGGTAGGGTGTAGGGCGTGGTTTAGGATTGGGCATCGTTTGTCATCGATGACGTCACTGGCCTAAAACGACACAAGCCTCGATACACACTTCACCAAAAACTTCCTGGATTACTCGAACCACGATAAGCAGCCTCGGCGCAGTACGTCACATCACTACTGTTCCCTCCTCAGCCGATTTCTCTAATTGATTTCACCTGACCTGATGAGGAGGAAGCTGCTTGCTCATTCAGCTGCAGGTTTCTGCTCCAACATCTCAGAAGAATACCTGTAGCTGCTCAGGTGAATCTGAAGATCTTTCGTCATGTGGACCTTTTTAGAAAACTTGATTCCACCTTAGTGCCAATTTAGAACATTTATATTTAAAAAACCTAATTTACACGAAATCAAACTTTTTTTGAGTGAAAATGGTCAATTAGTTATTTTGTTTTTGCCTGAAGTTGAGATCAAATGAGCTTGATGTTTTATCACTGGTAAATGTCAACGTATTTTTGTTTACTAACTATTTCACACTATTTGTAATTCCCACGAGGATAAGAGGTGCTATACAATGTATTGTGTTTCTAGCACTTCCTAACACGTGGCTTGTGTGGTCATTTCATCTTTTATGATTCGTATGATGTTTTAATGCTTTGTCAAGCTTTGTGACTATGTCTGGGAAAAGCGCTTTATAAATACATGTTACTTACTTACTTATTTCTGCTGCATTACATGAAATAACCCCTTTATTTACAGCTCATATTGTATCAAACTTTGATGCGTTTGCTCTCCACAGATGACCGTCCTTCAGATCTTGCCGTGCTCGGTCTCTCAGCTGCTGTCTGCGTCTAAAGCCAGCAGCGACACGTTTGCACTCAACGACCTGGAGTTCAACCAGGTGTGAGACATCACCATCTAAAGAGGATTTCACTCTGCAAAAATGCATTTCTTTTAGTTAAGATATGGGGGGAAAGTTAAGATATGGGACATTCTATGATGAACAAGTCAGTATAACACTTTCCAAGAACGTCAACAATTAAGGTTTGTCCAATAAATTCAATGGAAAATGTACAACCATGCTTTCTTGGACACTGTTCAGAACTCCATTGAAAATCCTGGAAGTTTGAAAGCCACTCAAACACACAGAATATCTTAAATGGCCACATTTCTGAATGTATTTTGGTTTAATGATAACGTGTGTTTGCTTCCTCAGGTGTCTGTCGTTGGCGTCGTCAGAGAGTTGGCTCCTTTTGTGAAATACGTCCAATACTGTTTGGACGACATGACGGGTCCTCCTCTGACCGTGATGCAGTGGGTGAACTCAGAGGCCAGTAACAGATTTGTTTCCTCAAAATTCTGAATTTCCCCAAAATCTCAAAATTCAGATTTTTTTTTTCTTCTCAAAATCTCAAAATTCTTACTTTTTCTCAAAATTCTGACTTGTTCTAAAAAAAAAATTGACTTTCTCAAAATCACAACATTTTGACTTTCTCAAAATTCGGACTTTTTCTCAAAATTCGGACTTTTTCTCAAAATTCGGACTTTTTCAAAAAATTCAGACTTTTTCTAAATACTTAAAAATGTTAATCACTCGTCACCGTCTTGATCTTCAATCTCAGGATCCATGTATTTCTGATCCTCTCCAGAATGGAAGGAGTCATCACATACAGAGCATCAACTAGTTCCTGAACAGTGTCCTTCACATGCTGATATCCAAGAGAGGGAGTCAGTCACAAGATGGAGGAATAGAAAGCAGTATTCAATGTTTACTTCAGATTAGCTCCACGTCAGAAATGAGCATGCTTGATGTCTATCTCCATAGAGGCTGAATCATCATGTTAATCACATAGCTATCATATGCCTCAAACAGTCCTGATGCTCTTCTAGGTAATCACACATCCTGTCATGTTCACAGCTACAGTTGGGACACCTTTGTTATCATGTGACTCTGATGTTGAAAGAGCACATTCAGTATTTTCCCAACAAACAGGATATCTTCAGTCCAGATAACACTGTAAACATCATGTTTCCCACAGGACTGTACTCCCCTGGTGTTTGCTTCTCCTGGATCTTATGTGAAAGTTATTGGAAGTCTGCGCAGCTCTACTGTAAGTTAATGAGGAGGTTAATGATGGTTTGATAGATTTTTCGGTGATGTTTTTGTTTTGTTGCTTCAGGGTGAAAGGTCATTGCAGGCCAAACACATCCGAGTTATCACAGACCTGAATGAGATCACATCCCACATGCTGGAGGTGGTGCACGCTCACATGCAGATTTTTAAAAAGGTAAGCAAGGTTAATCTTGTTTAACTAAGCGTTATGTGAAACAACTGAAATGGGAAATGCATTCTCGGTGTGCTTCAGTACAGATTGTCGAGTTCTTTCTCTGATGGCCTGATTTCAGTCTCTGCTCATATTCATTTTTCTCCGTCTGTTATTGATGCAGAAATTTGATGTGAACATGAACATCACTGCTGTCCCTTCAGAGGAGTTGCCCTCCGTCCAGGGTCAGGTGAGTCTGTTGAAAGGGTCAGTTCACACAGATAATGACTTATGACTTTTAACAAGATGAATGAAACAATATTATAGAAAGTTTAATATGTGTACATCTCAATAAATCATGCAACAAATATAGGTAATAATATATACTATGTTGTCACGGTGGCAGCAATGCCAGGACCAAACAATAATATATGTATTATCTCTATCTATTTTTTGGGGGGAGCTTATTGTAAGTGACATTTACTATATATTGCAAGACCTGCAAATAATCACAAAGTATTTATACAATTGCATCGAAAACACTTTCCACTCTGTGATGAGAAACCTCTGTGTCCTCGTCTGTAGAAAAAAAGGCTCATTGATATTGATGAAAATGACAAGTTAAACATGTCATGCATTTAGAGCAGGGGGGTCCAAACTTTTTTCACAGAGGGCCACATACAGAAATATATACGAAGGGCTGGGTCGCTCACTACAGGTGAGGTATATCGCCTCATAAGTTCAGTTATAAGTTGGCAAAATCAATCAAATGTCGGTAAATGATGCTTGTGAGTGTTGGCAGCTCATCCCTTAAAACAAAAGCCTCAGATTGATTAAAATAAGGAGAAATAGGAAGGGTGTATTTCAAGCTTGTTATGGAAATAAGTTATTGGGCTTTTTTCTTATCAACTAAGATATGTTAGAAAATGTTTCCAACTTTAATTGAGTGAATTTATTTGAAGTGGTCTTAACACATGAATACTACTGTGTAAAGTACAATATAAGACAAGCACAAGTTTCATTTGTGGGCCATATTCCATTATACTTTTTTAATTTGCTGAGGGCCGATTCAAAATGGGCCGTAGTTTGGACACCCCTGATCTAGAGAGATGCCGTTTAAAGTCTCCTCTTGTTTCCCGTGGAGGTGCTGCATGTGATCAGGAGAGGGTCTGTGCGAGACGTCGGGATCGGATTCAATGAGCTGCAGAGCAATCTGGACTTCCTCAGCATCAAAGACATCAAGTACCCTCATTCATTTGAACATATACACATATTCAGTAGTGATGGGAATTACGGCTCTTTGAAGGGAGCCGGGTCTTATGGCTCCGTTCCTTTCCGAGAGCCGTTCAAAGGGGGCGGGGTTACTAGGTTTATCTGCGAAATAATCACCCGGATAATGATTGACTGTTTTGCCAGAAATCTACTTTTACTCACAGAACAATGTATAACTTGCCACATCTCTCAGCCAGCCAAAGTACTCAAGCAGCATGCGTTATGCCATCATCTATCGAGGGCAACTTTGCATTCAGGAAAGCAAGTTCCCGTAAAGGCGAGTGGATTTATGGCAGGCAGTTTCAAGGTTTCAAGGCTTTTATTGTCATGTGTACATAGCTACAGTGTAGTTATGACAATGAAAAGCTTAGGTCACAGACTCCTCCAACAGTGCAACACAATAACACAGATACAATAGTACAAGTAAATAAAATAAAATAGAATATATTAGAAACAGAATATGATAGAAACTGTGCAGAATAGTCTATATACAGTAATTGGAATATTGATATATGTGAGTTGCAAACAGATGAATGTTATGTTCTTTCAAAAGTGCAGATGTGTAACAGTCGTATGGCCTGTGGGGTGAAACTGTCCCTGAGTCTGGTGGTTTTAGTGAACCAACGATAAAAATAACGGCTCTCACCAAGTACGACTCGGTAAGCCAGAAAGACTTTCTGAATAATATATTTATCACAGGGAAAAATTGGGTTTCGACAGATGCTCAATTTTTTTTAATAGAATAGAAAAATACTAAGATAAAACTTTAGCGAACTACCCAAAATTCATAGCGTTGCAAAGTTGGGGTCAGCTGTGGAAACCCGGAGCATAATCAAAATGAAGGTGAAGGAAGAAGAAAGCAAAGAGTGGTCAGCCTGACATATTACATTCACTCTGTAAAGTTTCAGGAACAAAGATTCTCTCTCTTTTTGTCCTGATCCATTTCTATAAAAACCTGTCTGAAAATGAGCTGATCAGATTTTGGCCACTTTGTGATGTCATAACGTTTTTGTTGGCTTGTGTAACCATTAGCCAATCAGCAACCAAGGTAACCCCCCCCCCCCTTATCACCTGAATCTCCTCCTAGAGCACCATTGAGTTCTTTGTAACCAAATGTCTCTCAGAGGGGCGTGGGGAGGGGCTCCTTATTTTCATCTAAGTACACTTTGGAAACGGGGCTGAAACAGAGGGGATTATGGGTAATGCTGCAATGATCTGTTTGGTGTTTGGAGGCAAACACTTCAGAGACATGTTTTGTATATATATATCTGAGAGCCATATAGTTGGACATGACTGATAGGGGACCTTTAATTGTTGTTAGTGCTGCAGATGAGTTATTGCACCGTCCAATGGTTACTCAGTCGGATTTTGAATGTCTTTCTTCTGTGCAGATCCTCTTTGACGTCTCTGATGGATCAAGGTTTCGTTTATCACACCATCGACGAGAACCATTTCAAGTCCACAGACCCTTAGCAGGATGAACATCACTGTACCCACATGTTCAGGGTCATACAAAGCTCTGTTAAATATAGTTATTTATAACGTATCACAGCTGTTACCCACAGACAGAAAAGGAGACTTACTGGGTTTATAGCTGATCATTTTTTTCCTAGAATGAATGCACTGATGTTTTCCTCAGGCTCTTTTTGTTTTAAAATATATATTATTGTTTAAGTTATTTATGCGCTGGATGTGTGGGTACCCTGCAAAGGACCCTGATGGCTGTATATAAAGATTGAAGTTTAAAATGTGTCTCATGCCGTCTTAATTTAAGATGTGTTTCTGTCCAGGACATCTGTCTCCATGCAGGCCTCATTTAGTTTTGAGAAAGGTAGAAAAGATTAAGGCAACAAACACAACAGGTGAGTGTAACATGTATTTAAACACAGTTATGGTCGTTCAGAAGCTGCTTCACAAACCCATGAGCTGCGTTTAAACCTGTGTAGAGATAATGTGTGTGTCTCTTTGTCTGCGGCTAATTCACTCACACTACTGAATCCATTAGTCTAATGTCTTTAGTGCACGTTTATGAATGAATGCTTAAGGATCCCTCCGGGTTTAGTTTCACGAATATTGAAGAAAGCAGTATTTTTGACTGTTTTATGCCATAGTTTCATTCAGTGGCAGAAGGCATTTCTGTCACTCTGCTAGATTATGTTGAACCAGAGTTTAAGATTAATTCATGATGACGATTAATTCATTTTTGTTTTGGTGATTTCCCCCACCATCACGACTAAGGAAGCCTGAAGGGACAATTTTGGTGACATTCGGCTCAACTGAGGTACATCTTTCGTGTAGTTTTCCAATAAGGATGTACCGTGTCTGCTCAAAGTGTTTGGGCTTTGTTTATGTATCTCACTCACACTCTTCCCTTGAGACCCGGATCGAGAAAACGGAGATAATATAGGTCAGGAATATGAGCTGTAAACAGAATTAGGCAGATGCAAACAGTGGTGCATTATGCATACATATATATATGTATATTTAAGCGATAGCTCACGACAGGCCGTGGTATATGCTCATTATATCACAGCTAAGGGGCGTGGTTCGGCCCGACGCGAAGCCTACCTTACCTACCCTACCTTAAGTGCATGTATACGTTTGTTTCTTTAGGACCCAGAACAGATGCATTGTGGTCCTTTTTAGAGGCTTTTCCACACCTCAAAAAGAGAAAGAATTAGAAACAATTATATTTTCTTAAGATTTCTATGTTTTATGATCCACTGTTATCAAATCATATTTAAAGAGTTGTATCATCAAAACAAAGATATCTAGACACTAGTTGAGGTTATCACTAGATAGCAGAAGATTGTAAATGACTTGTCAAATGAAATCCTAACCTCTGTAGGTTCACCTCCTAAAAGTTGAATTATCAGACGTTAAACATTTCTGAGATGAGAGACCTGACAGTAAGTTTATAAAGGAAAGAGTCTGAAATTCGGAATAAATGCTTGTACAACAGTTTCTCTAAAGAATAGCATGCTTTGTGGTCCTTTTTAAAGGCTTTTCTACGGCACTAACAGAATTTGAGGGAAAAAACAGCACACCGCCATCTTTGCTGTGTCTTCTCAATGTTTCTATCGTCCAGTCATTTTTAAGTAAGAATGCTAATATGTTTTCGTTTCTTTAGCAGCATTTTCCTGAGACGTCCACATGAGTCTACATATTTTGGAGAAAACCCCGGACCCAACGCAGCAGCAGCACACCGGGGGGTCTGCAGGGGGGGGGTTAGGGAGGAGCTGAAGTCCTGCTGGGAAACGCCTGAAGAGCCCGAGAGACGTCTTTGTTTGCTGCTGTTGGTTCTCAGCAGGGCGTATACAAAACAGAAGTAGATTGTTGAATATGAGCGGCTTCAAACTCCATTTGCAAAAAGAGAAAACTGCTTTTCTGTGGATCTGACGGAGCTGCAGATTGACAGCTGTAGAGACATTAATAATTCAAAGCCTCCGCCAGTTTTTTATTTGAGACAAAAGGAGGAATCCCAAGAAAAACAAAATGCAGAGTCCAACAAATAATACTCAGTTTGGTTTCATGAATGCAAATTTAAATATCAATCAAATGTTTTTTCTATAGCCCAATATTACAAATGACACATCTGTCTCAGGGGGTTTTACAGTGTACACAGCGTACCACACCCTCTGTCTTTAGACGCTCGCAGTGAAAAGGAAAAACTCCCAGTAAAATTGAAGAATTAACATTTTAGAAACCTCAGGGAGAACACAAGGATGGGCAGAAATGCATTAAAGCATGAAGTCATGTCACAGTAGAGACACACAATACTGATATCAACCTGAAAATGAGCATTATGGCCTCTTTAAAATATATACAATCCTAAAATTCGACAATTTTCTGTCTAATTGTCACATGACCAATACAACATTTAGAGTTTGACCTTTATCATGACTCCAATCATAGATGAATGGAGATTTTTATAAATGTCTGGCCTCGATAGTCTGAAAATAGCCAAAAAGGAAAATAAATCAATATAAATATGTCTACATCGCATTGTAAACAACCCTAAAAACGCCTTCAAGAAATAGATAACATAGAAAGTGTTACCTTAATGGCTGAATATTAATTTGAAGTACACAGCACTAGAGATTAAACAGGTTTTGCAGCATTTTGCAGAAGTTTAGTCTTCAAAGTGTCTCAGATTTCCTGACCACTTTCTGCATGACTTCTCCTTTGTGTGAATACTATTTGGCCGGTCGCTGATTTCAATATAAAAATAGGCAGAAAGTGCCACACTGCAGGAGAGGAGTAGTAGACACAGCTGTAATTGTCTGAGACAAGGCTACGAACCGCGGGGTGACGACTGACATCAAACACTCTCAATAAAGAAACCAGTATTTGTGACATTCAAGTGATTTTATTTTCTGCTATTTTTACACCAAGTGCCATTGTCAGATATTTATGAAACACTTAAGAGTGAGAGGGCTTTAATTGATATGACTGTTATTAGGATTCATGATATTTGTATAATAATCCATACCTCTGTGTGAGATGGAGGATTAGCGAGTCCCTGGAGAAATCTCCCACTGAGCTCTCTTCACTTTCATGTGTTCACTTTAACGCTGCTATCTATGGCACCAAAAGTGCTAATTAAGTGATCTATTTCTCTCCAGCAAACTGGTTTTGATAGCATGTCTCCAGCCCATGCTAAATGTGTCATTCCCTCCCCATGTTGATGAGATGTCCTCTGAAGATTTTGAGCACCTATCTGTTTCTCCTGTTTGAATCCCGTGCTGATCGCTGACAGCTCCTGCGTTTGAAATGACTCGTTTTATGTTTTATTACTTTATTATTTGATTTTTTTTCACACATTATACTGCCGTAGCGCGCTCTCTCTTAACAGCCATTAATAATTGTCTCCAGCACATAACGAAGCGCCTGTAAATCCGCTGCCTGCCGCTTAACAAGGCTCCAGACAGCCTTCAGCAGAAAGCATGCACGCTTTAAAGTGATGTTGTTTTTCCACCAGAGGGCAACATGTGTTCTGTAATGCACAAACACTGCCTCCTTATGTAAATCACAGTCTCTCTTTTCCCCAGTGCAATGCACCACTCACCTATAGCCCCCACTTTCTGGTCTGTTCTTCATCAACACATGGAGAATGCCCAGTTTGAAAGGCTTTGCCCACATTTAGAGTTATTTTGAAGCATATT